AACGGTGTGTGAATTGATATAAAATTTATGAGTTGTTTGTTTTAATGTTTCAAATGCGATTTATGATAATTAAATGTTCAATATAGATCATTTACGGTTTATATTAAGTGTGACATTTTATATTAGAATTATAAAATTTAGAGTAAACCACATGTTCCCACCCAAGGTTTAGCGAAATAGTAAGTTCCCACCCTTGGTTTCATATAAATTTCGTATTTCCACCCTTATATTAACACCGTTTCCTTAATTTTTACTTTTTACTGTAGTGATGCTCACATTAGCATGTTAAGATGCACCGGTGCTCCTTTGACTAAAAATAGGCTCATATTAGCAAAAATGGCTCACATTAGCATGCCCAACGTGCCGGTTTTTGGCATTTTCTGATCGATCTTGAACTCCAAAATAATTTATGAGACCAACATTGGACTCCCCACGACCTCCTTTACAAAACCCATACTCCCATATGCCGTCATCACTCACTTTTCCACCCACTCCTACACTTGCCACCTTACGATTTTGGATATCTTCTCAGTCATTTTCTATTGGATCAGAGAGCAACTGGCATCATCGAACTATACCAATAGACTCTCCTTGTGTTTTAGTTTGTGTAAATATGTTTTTTGGCCGTTTCTGACTTCCCATTCTTCGGAAATGGAAGCCCGAAGTTACCTACTTGATAAAAGGCCTAAGTTAGTTTTCCAAATTCCCACCCTCAGTTGAACAATCACTGATGGTGTTTAATTAAGGGTGAAAATTTGGAATACATGAAAAGAGGGGTGGGAACTTGCGATTTTGATAAACCTTGGGTGGGAACATGTGGTTTACTCTAAAATTTAAGATATCTCTAGACTCTAATGGGCTCCAAGGGGTTGCTTTTGTTAGACTAAGATTTTAAAGCCGATTTTAAGATATATCTACGAAAATATTTTAGTGATCTAAAAATAAAAAAGGAGATGGAAATAGTTAATTGTTTTAACCCATTTTATTATTTTTAATAATGTTTATTGTTAAACCATTGTATTAAGAGTCTCAAACATACAAACAATTAGTGAGAAAAATATAAATTATGTTTATATAACATTAGAAACATGATCGGTAAATATTATTTATTGAAGTTTCATTCAATTTTCTAAGTTTACATTAGTTTTAAGTATTATTTCATTATTTGTACAAATTAGTATATATAATTGTGGTTTTCCAATAACTTATTCAAATATATGAGCTCCTAGTAAGTATAACATATTGTAATAATAATATAGATTTTGAAAAAAAAAAAAATAAATAACTGTAATTTATAAAGATTTTCGGGAAAAAAAAAAACCATCTTAATATATGTATATATATTCTTTTAAGAGATTGTTACGGCAAAAAATCGTCTTTGACCCAAATAGGAGAACGAGACTGAATGAGGAAGAGATCAGACCCAATCCCGATGCGGCCCCATCTGGATTAGGCTCATTTAGTACGAGATACAGTCGGCCCAAACCATCGGGTCCGGGCCTCTAAATCCCAGTTCACTTCCTGGACCTATGAGCAAGTCTAGAGCCCACGGCACCCACAAATCACTTTCCTATTCCAGATCAGTCTCCTATTTGAGGTCACCTTCCTGTTCAGGTCACTTTCCTACTCGAGGTTACTTTCCTGTTCGGGATCACCTTCCTATTCAAACACTAGTAAGACAACTCACCACCGCTCTAATTCCTCTATGGTTTGTATCAGAGTCACATTAGGACTCCTACTCCCACCAGGACTGAGAGACCAGACAGTCACTATATAAACAGAGGCCAGCCCTCTCATAAGAGACATTAGATTACATTACACCTTCACACCCGAAGCTCTGACTTGAGAGCCTCACATCACTGTCGTAGTCACAGTCCCCGACTAGACTTCAGGTGCAACGGATCGCTAGTGGCCTCAACCTCACGGATCAGACCCCCCTTCTGTACAGGTAGATTTTTATGTCTACAGAGATAGACATTTTCCCTGTCCCACCCCAAATAGGGCAGGATTCCTCGAAAAAATCCATCCCTACAATACTACCAGTACCAAAACCAAAAGCTGAGGGCCCCTTTGGTACACAATTTTTCACTATTCTATTCCCCATTCTATCTAAAATACACATTTATTTCCTTATTCTCAAAATATTATTATATATTATTCAATTCTTTTTAAACCCCCTACATTTGTCTCAATTTTTTTTTTTTTTTTTTTTTTTTTAAGAAATTGACAAAAACACATTAGCAATCCACATTTGCCAAATTTCGGTCACCATCGTTAAAAGCTGGTCAGAATCTGGTATAATGGTGTACTACCGACTGGATCTGACCGAAAAATGATAGATCTACGACTAAAGATTTGACCATAACCAATCATCAACGTCAGCCAAAATGTAGCCAGATCTGGCCATCAATGGCTAGATGCACCGACCAGCCAAATCCAACCTGTCGTCGTCGATACAGCGACTTTGACCACCCTCCGACGGTGGTGGCTGGCTGTCGGTATTTAATGAGTGGGTGTGGGTGTTTTTGTTAATTTTTAATATTTTATTATAGGGGTGTTTAATAAATAAACAAACATAGGGAAGTATTTTTGTTAATTTCAAAATTCTACATCGTAATAACTTATAACCACCCAATTTATTATTCTAAAAAGTATCAAAATAATGAACCAAGTAGCACCCTAACTCTTCATTTTCTTTTTCTCTGTCTCTTAAGTTCTCTCCGCCTCTATTGATATCTTTTATGGATGAAACTATACCCAAACCCCAACCCAAACCCAAGATCCAAGTAGTTTTGTTTTGTTTTAATTCAACAATTGGTGAGAAACTATAACTTATTTTTTTGTTATAAAATAATCTTATTTATTATTTTATTTTTTTTGTTGTGACTAAGGATGTTCGAGCTAGCTTGTATGTATCTCAACTAATTTTCAAAACCTTGAAATTGACAAGCGGGTAAATCCCTTCAATAGCTCCTTTATTAGCAACCTAAGTAGATCGAACTCAAGACCTCTTGAATAATACACCCAAAAATTATAGTTGACTGCTGAACAAATTAGTGGTCGTATGTATAGTCTTAAATATTTGGTTCATACTAGACNACATTAGTTTTAAGTATTATTTCATTATTTGTACAAATTAGTATATATAATTGTGGTTTTCCAAGAACTTATTCAAATATATGAGCTCCTAGTAAGTAAAACATATTGTAATAATACTATAGATTTTGAAAAAAAAAAAAATTAACTGTAATTTATAAAGATTTTCGAGAAAAAAAAACCATCTTAATATATGTATATATATTCTTTTAAGAGATAGGCATTTTCCCTGTCCCACCCCAAACAGGGCAGGACTCCTCGAAAAAATCCATCCCTACAGTACTACCAGTACCAAAACCAAAAGTTGAGGCCCTTTGGTACATAACTTTTCACTATTCTATTCCCCATTCTATCCAAAATACATATTTATTTTCTTATTCTCGAAATATTATTCTATATTATTCAATTATTTTAAAACCCCTTAGATTTGTCCCAAATTTTTTTTTTAAAGAAATTGATAAAAACACCCTAACAACCCACATTTGCCAAATTTTGCCCACCACCGTTAGAAATTGGCCGAAATCTAGTATAATGGCATATTACTGGTTGAATTTGATCGAAAAATGCTAGATCTATGACTAAAGATCTAGCCGTAGCCAGTCATCAACGTCAGCCAAAATGCAGCCAGATCTGGCATTTTCCGGCCAATTCCATCATGGATCTGACCAGAAAAGGCCATATTGGCGCACAACCAACTAAATCCAACCTATCGTTGCCGATACGGCAACTCTGACTACCCTCTGACGGTGGTGGCCGACTGTCTGTATTTAATGGGTGGATGGGGTGTCCTTGTTAATTTTTAATATTTTATTATAGGGGTGTTTAGTAAATAAACAAACTTAGGGAAATATTTTTGTTAATTTCTAAATCTTACATCGTAATAATCACCAAATTTTACTTTTTTTTTAAAATATTATTCTAAAAAAATATCATAACAGAATAATGAACCAAGTGGACATTTAACTCTTCATTTTCTTTTTCTGTCTCTTAAGATCTCTCCGCCTCTGTTATATCTTTTATGGATGAAGCTATACCCAAACCCAAACCCAAGATCCAAGTAGTTTTGTTTTATTTTAATTCAACAATTGGTGAGAAACTTAGACTTATTTTTTTGTTATAAAATAATCTTTTTTTTTTTTTTGTTGTGATTGAGGATGTTCGGGCTAGCTTGTATGCATCTTAACTAATTCTCGAGACCCTGAAATTGACAAACAGGTAAATCTCTTCAATAGCTCCCTTATTAGCAACCTAAGTGGATCGAACTCAAGACTTTTTAAATAATATACCAAAAAATTATAATTGACTACTGAACAAATCAGTGGTGGTATGTATAGTCTTAAATATTTGGTTCATACTAGACGCCCTTTTTATGCATTTAGTTAATTTCTAGACATTCCAATAAAAATATTTATAAAATGATAATGAATTTCATCATATTCAATGTACTCGATAATCAAATGCATCTAACATGTCAAACATCACGATAAAAAGGAAATAAACGTTCAACGTACTTGACATACTCAACATATAAAAAAACTATGAGTAATACTACACTTATAAATAAATTTTACAAAGATCTCCATACAAAGTGATGTGGCAAAAAATGAATGAAAGAGTGAATTTAATAAGTTTGACTTTTTGTTTCACTCTTTTATTTATTTTTTGTCACTTTCCTTTATACATAAATATTTGTAAATATAATATTATTGGAAAATTATTGTTGTTGAACGTTTCAATTCCGGCCTATTTGCACAAAAATACGTTGGATTATTTTTAAATAAAATCCCTTAAATATGACTATTTTTAACAAAAAGCATTCCATATTTCCATTATACCGAAACAAAACGGTGTCGTTTTACACTTAAAATCCCGCCTTCACTTCCTCATTTGAAAACTCTCTGCCTCTGCCGTCTTGTCAATTCCTTTCTCTCTCCCTCTCCCTCTCTCCATTAGTGTCAAATTATGAGTTCCAAAATCGGTATTTGCCTATTTGGTGTACAATTTCTACATTAATACGCACTTCAATGGTTACAAGTTCAAGCTTAATGATTTTAGACTGAATTGGCGTTTCAGGTGTTGATTTGTGGGCTGAAATTATTGCATCTGAAGAAGCAGAAGAGCCGCAAAAGAACAAAGCGGAAGTAGTTTATCAGAGGAGAAAGCCTCATCAGACTCATAAAGATGTGATCTTGTAAGGGTTTTGCTTCAAAAGCTTGGGTTTTGTTTTGATTTTGTGCTGTTGTAAATAAGGGTTTTGTTTCAAAAGCTTCAACTTTTATCTGTATTGATGTTGTTGAAAATAAGGCTTTGTTTCAAAAGCTTCAATTTTTATTTGTATTTATGTTGTTGAAAAGAGGGTTTTGTTTAAAAAGCTTTGATTTTTGTTTGTTTTTATGTTGTTGAAAATAAGTGTTTCGTTTCAAAAGCTACAGTTTTTATTTGTTTTTATGTTGTTGAAATCAGTGTGTATTTGTTTTTGTGTTTTTGAAACATGGGTTTTGTTTTGAAAGCTTTGATTTTTGTTCGTTTTTGTGTTTTTCAAACATGGGTTTTGTTATGAAAGCTTCGATTTTTTATAGTGTTTGTGTTTTTGAAAACTTGGGTTTGTTTTATATTTTGTGTTTCTTTCAGGAATCGGGTTGATTCGAATGAGGCCAATCGGTTGAGTTTGGCTGCTGCTAAGACTAATAGGAATCGGGTCAGTTGGAACCGATCACTTTCCACCAGGTTCTACTTTTTCATTTTCTGTTTTTGTTTTTGTTTTGGTTTTTGATTGGTTGTTTGAGGTTGCATGGAATGTCTCATGAGTCTAGTTAAGTGATTAGAAAATAGACAAAGGGCTTTTACGGATGAGAGGTTTTTCAAGAAGCCTTATTAGACATTTTGGTAGGAAGTACCATCAAACAAAAGCGCTTCCTGCAGAAGATCTAGCAAAAGCTTCTTGGTGCTAGGAGAGGTATAACCAATGGAGTTCATTTTGTTTCTGATGTAGATATGGCAGAGTTCAAAAATCATGAATTAAGCTTCGATTTTGAAGAGATACCTTTTCGAGTTTTGTTGTTTCATGCTGGCTCTTTACAGGTTTTGCGTTTAGCTGATGTTAAAGTAGACAACAGCGTTTTTCGTGATTAGAGAAACACATCAGTGATACATATGATCAGTAATTTTTCAAGAAGTGTTATCAGTTGAGTTTTTGGAAGTGCTATCGAACAAACTGCTTCCTACCAAATCTCTGGCAAAAGCACCCTGATGCTGGCAGAGTTACGACTGGTGGAGTGCATTTTGTCCCATGTAGTTATGGCATAGTTATCAATTGATCTCTAATTCTGAAGAGATACCTTTTCTATTTTTTTTTTTTTTCCCTTCATTCCTTGCTGGTTCTTGATGGCTTTGAGGTTAGCTATTGTTGAATCTCTTTATAGCTGTTTAATTTCGTTCTTGATACAGAGGGAGGACTAGTATAGCTGTTCGTGCTTGTGTGGACATTCGGCCTCAGCAAAAGCATGCAAGAAGAAAAGGAAAACCAGCTCTTCCGAAGGTATGACTCTATTATTTGTTTTTTAAATAGTGTTATTTACAGTTTTATTTAGCCTGCATGTACCAAACTACTTTAAAGTTCACCGACTTGTGACCTTCTTTACGGTTATTCTGTGTCTTTTGTGTGATTTAAGATATATACGTGATTTGTTATTACATGTTAAAATGCAATGGAACTCATGCTATATTGTGTTTATGGTTTTTACAGGGAAAAGTTGTACAACATGCAAACTTAGACAAGGAGCGAAAATACTTTCAAGAAGTTGATGCCTTTGAGTTGCTTGAGGAAAGCCCCTCTCCGAAACATGCTAGTACATGGACTAGAGGCCAAAATGAGGATGTTCCTATGTCACATTTGCGCTCAAGATTACAGAATATTTTAATATCCCTGAAGTTAAACCACGGTTGTGGGCCTTCTAGCACATTGTTCAAGTTATTGAAAACTCCATACATGACCTTGGAACCTATAAGAACCTTAGGAACACCAGAAGAATTTTCTCTCCTAAGTACACCAGGTTTAAATTCTACCCAAAGTAGATTTGATGAAAGTTTAGTAGAGGGAGATGTACTTGAAAGAGATGGTAATTCACAAAAGAGCAGTACAACTTTGGTGCATGTGAAAGATGAGGACTGTGAAATTATAGAAGCTGCTGTAAAGAAACTTTCTTTGGCATCCACATCAGCTTCATCAGATCTTCATCATGTGGATCCATTTGATACACTATTAGCAGTTTGTGGACTGTCAGCTCCTTCAAAGCTACTCGATGTATTGTCCAACTATTGGTTCGTTTCCCATTCCCAATATGCTTGTGTATTCTTTTACCTGATAAGAAATCACGCATGTTTTACACAAGTATTTTTGGAATACATTTTCTCCATTCTGTGTTTTTAGTCAATTTGTTGGTTCAGGTATCATCCCATTTTTGGAAACTCATTGATCATTTTTATGTTTTAGGTTGTTGAAATTTTCTTTTCTGCTTCTTTTTGCATGAGGTTTGATTTCATTGTTCCTCCTGCTTCCTTGTGCTGATCAAAATGAAATTTTCTTGACTGAAGTGACCCAAAAAGCATTGTCAAAATTGGTGAAGGTACTTATGGAGAAGCTTTTAAGGTTGGCAATACTGTTTGCAAGATAGTACCGATTGATGGAGACTTGAAAGTGAACGAGGAAGTGCAAAAGGTAACTATTGCAATCACATCTATCTTTTCTATGAGTGTTTTGAAGAGGTGAAACTTTTTATCACTGAGGGAGTTTGGCTGGAAGGTATATATCTGTCAAACAGCGAGTCAGGAGATTCTCTAAGTTGGCAGGATACTAAATAACAGCTTCAACACTGATTTTGTAACTTTTAAGACTATTGAGTTTTAAACTGTATGTTTCTGGTATTTAAATCAATTGCTTGAAGAAAAAGTCCTTTTGTTTTTTTATGAGAAGGAAGTTGTTGGTTTACTGCTCTGTATTGGATTAATCATTCTTGAATTAATTGTTGAATTTCATAATTGTTGTTTTATTGTTGACCCCTGTGTTTTGTTGTCTTCCAGAAATCAGAGGAATTACTTGAGGAGGTTGTACTTTCCCGAACTCTTAACCTTTTAAGAAGTAAAGAGGGTGATGCTTATAATGCCTGCACATTGTTCATTGAGACCTTAGGGTAAGTATTCCACCTCAAATTTTTTAAGTTCTATATATTGTTAGTAACATGCCGCAACAAGACCATTTTCTATTTTAGCATGTCTACTGGACTCTTAACTATAAAACCTGTAGATAGCTTTATTGATGAGTTAGATGTCAATAATTGGCTAAGCATGCTATTAAAATCCGCTGTTTGATTCATTCTTCCCAAATCTAAAATTTGCTCCACTTAGATCGATGATCAAGTTGTTTAGCATTGTCATTGTCTTGGTCAAGTTCAGTCTCCGAAGCATGAGATTAAACTTACACTAGATGTAGACTTTAATTTACAAAGCATTCATGTTTGTAAATAAATTCTGTGTTCGTTGATGAGTGAAAGTTTTTTGTCATGCTTATCTCTTATGAGCTCTTTGTTCCACAGTTTGAAAGTATGCCAAGGTCCCTATGATCCAGTTCTGATCAAAGCCTGGGAACGTTGGGATGATCAACATGTTTCTGAAAATGATCATCCTAGAGCATTTCCAGACAATCAGGTTGCTTTTGATATCGTTGATAAAAAAAAATAAAAAAAAATAAAGATTATGTTTCCTGTGCAGTTTACATTTTAGGCCCTTTATTATTATTATCATTATTTTTATTTTATTAACTCTATTTCGTCACTTTGCATTCAGTGCTATGTTGTGTTTGTTTTACAACATGGGGGTAAGGATCTTGAAAGCTTTGTGCTCCAGAATTTTGACGAAGCACGGAGTTTATTGGTTCAGGTAAATAGAGATCCATGTTATTGGTATTTTTTGTTCATCCTCGAATCTTTGATCAGTTTCTTAACAGAGTGCCTGTTATGCTTTATAGGTTACGGCAGCCCTAGCAGTGGCTGAAGCTGCATATGAATTCGAGCATCGTGACCTGCACTGGTCTAGTTACTAACTTATTTCTTTGATTGCAATAGTGCATTCTTTTATCTATTTGCTTATTTAAAAAGATTTGTTTGTCACAGGGGAAATGTACTTTTAAGTCGAAATGACTCAACATCGCTGCCTTTTATTCTCGAGGGGAAGCATATGTTTATTAGAACCTTTGGAATGTCAATATCAATAATCGATTTTACTCTTTCGAGAATGAATACTGGTGAAAGTTTTTGCTACCTTTTATATTTTTGTTAAATTGGAGGTTTAAAAAATTTGTCAATTCAAATCAGCTAACAAACATTCTATGCACACAGGTGAAGATATACTCTTTTTGGACCTATCCTCGGACCCTTATCTCTTTAAAGGTCCAAAAGGCGATAGACAAGTAAGAAATATTAATTATTAAATCTTATAGATGCCTTTAATTTAAGTAATTCTGTCATATCTTACACTAATATGATTCTTGCTATCATATGCAGTCGGAAACATATCGAAAGATGAAGGAGGTAACAGAAGATTGCTGGGAAGGAAGGTATTATTGTTGATTTCTCTATACTCCGTGTTATCAAATGTACAATGGTTATGTTATCAAATGTACAAAAAAGAATGAACATAAATTGAATTGAATCTTTAATAATTTTGCTTGAGATTTAACAAACAAACTTGTTCCATATTTGCAGTTTTCCCAGAACAAATGTGCTATGGTTGCAATACTTGGTGGATATATTGCTCCTAAAGAAATCATTTGTAAGTCTCTTTCCTATTTTTCGCTTTTGCTTCCTCAGTTGTATTTGATGGGGGTCATCTTTATGGGGTTTGAGTATTGCTAACTGGTGGCAATAAATAGGGATGTATATTTTAGAAATATGCGGACGTTGGCATCTGAGAAATTTTTATAACTATTATAATTCAATCCTTGATTGGTCAATTATGTACCAGGAGCGTTCTTCTAAGAATGAGAGAGATATGCGGTCGCTGAAGAAGCGTTTAGACAAGTATCAATCCGCCAAGGAAGCAATTTTTGATCCTTTCTTCAGTGACTTGTTAGAAGATGTGAAGGAAGAATGAGCAGAATTCGTTAGGCTTGGTAAATAGTATAACTTGTATTAGAAAACTTTTTGTTCTCACTTGTACATATCAACTTGGAAGTAACAAAGCAATGCAATGAGTCAAATTTCTCGTGGCTGGTTTTTGCACTGCCATATTGCCAAATAGTCCCAGGTCTCTTCTAAGATTTGTATGTTTTTCACAATGTTTTAAAACCCAACCCGGGGTGAAACCCGGTAAAGTTGCCGGGTCCTGGGTTGATCGGTTTGACCACCCGGTTGACAAAAACTTTTTAAATTAAACAAATACACCCCTAATAATTCGTTAAGTCTCTATAGGTTTGAAATTTAGCAAACACACTCTAAATACAAATCTGTCGACGATTTGTTGGCAGCGACGACACTCTAGATGCAACTCAATCGTCTTTGAGCCCATTCCCCTTAAAATATACCCACGATCTGGCTAAAATAGATTCGACTTTGGCTAGATCTCACTGGCGTCAGCATTCCAGGCCATATCTCATTGACGTCGGCGTCGACAACGCTCCCCATCACCCAAAAATTACTCCCCTTTTCCTCCTGACTGAAACCTACCTCACATTTCCTCGTTAGCCTCGCCAATCGTTAGCAAAAGTTAGTTGTTGTCGTTGCCACTTTTGTTCGATTTCCGATGGATTTACTCACCGGAAACCAACTCCGTCACCACCATCGCATTCACTGTCACTTTCTCTTAAAAAACCCCAACATCTCGGTCGTCAATTGTCCATCGATCATCCTCCCAAATCCTAGGATTTTGGGTGAATAGGAAAAATATAAACCCAGTCCGTTGAAGCTTCCGAGTCCTAGTTGAACCGGTTAAATCGGTCGGGCCGGGTTTTAAAACATTGGTTTTTCATGGATTGCATTTCTTTTATTATGCAAAAGCACTTTTTTTTTTTTTTTAATAATTTCATAAAATTCAATCTCCTTTTTTATCTAGTTAACGAATTGATATTCACATTAAAATATGTCTGGATATACAGTTCACGTCTTGAAGTTCTCTCTTGTGCTAGCCAAGGTTTTTACACTTGGCCTGGCTCGATCGGTTGAACTGGTTTAATCGGGACTTAGGGCCTTCATCAGGTTGGTTATCAATTTTACTATTCATCTCAAACCCTAGAAATTAAGACGATAATCAGCGAACAATTGGTGGTTGAAATGTTAGGGCTTTTGAAAGGGAAGAGTTTGTGAGTTGAAAGGTGGCGACGGGGTTGATTTTCGTTGAGTGAAACGACCAAAAATCGTAAAAATAAATGTGAGGCGAATGGGGGAAGGGTGTGATGGGTTTTGGTTAGGAGGTTGAGGGCAAAGTTTTCGTGGTGATGGGGTGTGTTTTCGATGTTAGAAATATGCCTTATTTGGCCTAGGTTGTAGATGCTAACGGTGTAATTGGGGGTGTTTTTGTAAAATTTCAAACCTGTAGAGACTTGTGAGATTTTTAGGGATGTTTTTGTAGGATTTTAAACCTTTTTATATGCTGATGTCATCGGTTTGACCCGTCAGTCAAACCGATTCAATTAGTTAACCTAAGACCAAATCACTTTGCTGGGTTTCTAAGACCAAATCACTTTGCTGGGTTTCACCCTAAGCCGGGTTTTAAAACTAAATGCTAGCGTCAATGAGTCACCTGGACTTGCATTTCACGCAAGTCCTCTCTTGTTCCAGCGCCTACGAGGCTCTTTGACATACAATTAGTAGTGCTCACCTTAAAATCCTCCCCTATGTTATAACAATGCTCAGTAGCCTGTAAATCCTGAACTATGCCAGGAACTTAAAAATTGATTGATCCAATTTACACCTATGGAAGAGACTACTTTCTATCTTCTTATCAGAAATTCACATGAATGTTTTAAAAGCTGCAATGGAAACCGTAACTGATGTCATTTGCCTTTTTTTTTTTCCAGAAATCTCAAGGTGCTTGTACTAAACTTGAGCAAGTAGAAGCAAAGTTTATAATATCTATACAACTTTTACTTGTTCATATTAAAAGCCCAGAAAGCAAAACTCTAAACTTGAATTCGGCTGTCTGCTGCCCATATTTTTGTTTTTATTGTATATTTATTTCTCTTTCTCTTTTCTTAGGTTCAGCAAGGACTTATACTTTTTTTTTTTTTTTTTCTTATAATTAAATTAAACGGATATTATCAGTTTAAGGTGATTTTCATAAATTTACATTAAAAATACAAAAATTTCAAAATACATTAAAAATTTGTTAGTTATCGTTAATTTTAAAAGAACAAAAATGATTGGATATAAATTCCTTGAAACCAAGGGAAATAAATTTAGAAACAAAAAGTCGGAAATATTACAAGTTGAAAATGCCCCATTGATTTTCAGAAAATATTAAATACCTTTGAAATTACCACAAACACATAAATAATAAAAACTGTACTACACAGGAATATTAAAAATCATAAAGGCGCTTAAGACTTAACTATTTCTTAAGAGAGTGAATGAAATTAACTCGTGTTTTATACTATGATTCTGACCATATTATATTAGTTTTTCTTATTTTTTTTTTTTTAATTTCATGTTCTTTAATTATTGGTTTAAGGATATTTTTGTCTTTTAATTTTTATCTCAAATTTAACGGAAATTTATTTTTAAAAATTATCAGGATATTAATAAACTGATGTACATTTTCAATAAAGTATTGGAGAAATTAATAAATGTATCAACCTTATCGCAAACGTGTAAATGTGGGCATTCTCTCCCTCTCTAGATAATTGCTGCTTTCGGCTGTGACCAAGTCAGACAAAAGTGCTTTTGATTCATCTGCTTAAAAGGAGAGAAGCAAAATGGCTTAAAAATTCCACATGGGTTGTCCCCACTCTTTGTATAAAAAGCACTTATTCTAATATAATATCTCCAAACCATTAAGACATCATCAATCTAGAGCTTGAAATTCTCCCCAAACAAACTTTGATGAATTTGTCTCCTAAATATTATTTATTTATTGCATTTTAATATCGTTTTGGGCTCTACCTCATCTATTTGACTGTGTCAAAGATATTCCATTGGTAAATAAAAAAAGTTAAATGATATATATTTTATCCTTTTAAAAATTATGTATATTTTTAAAGAATCACGATAATGTTAAAATCATTTGATTCTACATTTTAATTAATTTATATCCTTTGTATTCTTTTTATTAACATATGTGTTTTATTTATAAGACGTATTTTGAATGAAAGACACTTGTTGAAAATCTAATAACAAATATGTTATTTGGTACTAAAACCAACAATATTTACTTAGTTATTCTTAAACTGTTACTAGTAATATTATAACAAAACGAGTGTCTGAACTGTTATAAGCTGACAATATTTACTTAGTTATTCCAAAGCTATTGCAATTGGTGTCATAGTGGAGCAAGTGATTGAGCTGATACAATATGACAATGTTTACTCACTTGTTTTCGAATTGATCATATTTGTTAGATTTGTTGACTACTTCAATATTAATGGATCACGCAGACGCATTCGGAGGTCTTGTTAGGGCAAATCACTTCATTGTAAACGAGAGAAGTGAAATAATATTGTAATAATATTGACTCTGTTAGACGTAGTTTGTTAATTGGGTGAACCAGGATAAAATCGCACGTACTTCTTCTTTCTTTTACTGTTTGTGGTTTATGTGTTTGTTATTTTGATTTCGCATCATATCTCTATTTCTTTCAATATTTACCTATGTCTCTTTGCAAAGAAATTCGACTTCTACAAGTAAAATCATATTGTATAGAATCAAAGTACCCCCAAAGAATGGTAAATATCTACTCAGTTGTTTCGAAACTGGTCATATTCTCAGTTGCATGGACTCTTTTGCTTGTGGCCTGTGACCAGTTTGAAAGCAACAAGAAGACCTGATTCTTTAAGGATTTGTCGAATAAATTCCTGAAAATGAGGTTTTTTTTATTTATCTATTGGAAAGAAAATGGAAGAGCTACGGCTATGGAGTCATCAATACTTACAGTTTAAGATTCAATTAAAGAGGCTGCAAGAAGAAACTTCAAAGTTGACATGAGACATTGAGCCCCACACCCAAAAAGGCTTTTTTCCAATGCCTTTCTGCTTTGCTTTTGCTTATACTAATTAATCAATTTTTGTTATCTGGTTTCCGCTGAGATAAGCCAAATTGACTTCACATGAGCTCTTTACACAGTCCAAACATCATCTAATCTTTAAGTTAATCTTTATCTCTAATTTTTCCATTTTAGTGAACGAAAATAATGACCATTTTGAGTATTTGGTTCAAATCTAGTGATTGATTTACCAACTTGTCACATCCATTTACTTTCTGCAAGAATGATTGTTCTATAGTAATGCATATTACAAATTTTAGGTTTATATTTGCAACGTTATATTGTAACAAAACCCCGTAAGAATATCAATTTTTTTTTTTTTTTTTTTTTTGTGATCAGGGTCTAGATCAACTTACACGCATTTTGATTAATCATTTGGAACTCTGAAATTAATAATTAGGTAAACACTCAAATGACCACTTTTATTAGTCATAAAAGAGAATCAAATTTAAAACATCTTGAGTAATACATCTAAGGGTCTCTATCGTTCAAACCAATCATCCAGAAAGATTAGTCGAGGTGCGGACATTTAAGCTTTGACACTCTTTAGGTATGTGGGGTTTACAAGGAATGAAGCAAGAGTGAGATATCAAAAGAATTATTAAGCCGTATGTGTAAATACAAAACCCGGCAAACTAGTCTCAAGTGGGACCAAGTCATTTCACTCATACAGATTCGTTTTTGATCTTCATGAAATTATCATTTTTTACCTACCAAAAACATCACTTCATGAAAACAATTGTCTTTACCTAACAAAGATAAGAAAACCCAGGACTTAACAGCTACTTCAATGAAGTATATGATTTGAGATGTAAAATTTTCACAAGAGATAAATTTATATTTTTCTTAGCGATTGATACAAGATAAACACAACAATTATTGAGGATCATATCATAACCAAAGATCATTCAAAGTGTCAATCTTTATAGAAATTCTTGACAAAAGCCAGGAAATTAAAAGCAAATCAACATATCTCACTTTCTGCTTTTTGATCAATGGCCATGTTCTTGGTAAGTTGTACCATACAAATAAAGAGTGTAGACTACATGTGCATATGCTCTTCAATTTTCCGAGTCATCCCTGCTTCTGCTTTTGCATTTTGAGCTTAAAATTTCGTTGGCAAAAGCAAAAGCAGCAGAAAAGCACTTCTGATTCTCTCTTTCTTTTTTCCACTGTCCATACACAGAATATTTCCAGCCCCATTCTTCATCACAAAGCAAAATATATATGTGTATATCTCCTTTATCATTACATGCAACTCAGTCATCTTCCTTTTTCTTTTAATTCACTTTTATCTTGATTACTTTTTATCTCTTCTCTCTCACTTTCTCTTTCTTAAAGCCTTCAATTGTTATCCATTTTTAAATGCACAATCCCGCCGATGTCTTTTAAGTACTAATGCCATTGTTTGCATCTCATTAAATATCCCTTTCAGTTTCTTCCTCAACAAACACTTCAATGGCTGCCAAAACAGCTCCTAAATGCATCTTCTTCTTCCTCTTCTCATTCCTCAGCTTCATCATCTCTTCTTCTGGTAAGTCACTGCAATTTCTGAGTTTTAAACTTCTCAGTTTTGAAGCTTTTATGCAGTTTTTGATCACTTTTTTTATCTGATTTTTTCCAGGAACTTTGGTGGGGTTGTCCTATAATTTTAGAGTAAACTCACCATATTCATCTCCTGGTGAAGTAGTTTCTTTCCTGAAGCTGAACAGGGCCTCTCGTGGAGTTTCAGTTGATCTTTACTTGAATGAAAGCCTGGTCGAGAGTTTTTTGCATACTGAAACATCTGCAATTTCATGGCTCAAAACTCATGTAGAAACTCTTCTCCCACATGTGAGCATCAGAAGCATAGTGTTAATCTGCAAAAGTGAGAGTTTTTCAGGCAAAGATATTTTATCAAGATTGAAAACATTCCATTTAGTCCTCAGCAGAGTTCATCTTGGAAGAAAAGTTAAGGTCTCAGTAGCTTTTTCATTGTCTTTATTAGAGAATCTGAACCATTCCCATCACAGAGATTTGCAGAGAATTTTTTATTTTGTCAAGAAAATTAGATCTTTTGTTACCATTGAGGCTTGTATTGATGGAGAATTAAGCGTTGGAGATCATTTTGTTCAGTCAATAATCAAGAAAGCTAGTTCTAATCTTCCAAGTAACGATGTTCCTGTTATTTTCACATTGAAAAGCCTTCTTGCTCCTACTGCCAGAGTTGCTGCTGAATTTGTCACAGAAGTTTCAAAATCTTTAGAAAACAACATTGAATTGTATGCAGAAGTGTCTTCTCCGGAAGATTTTGTTGCGGAAGAACCGATCTTTTCACCGCGAAGAAAACTCCTAAATAACCTGAAAATCACTTCACATGACATATTCAACCCCCCTACAACAATCTTTCAAACAACTCCTCCAGGAGCTATTCCTCCTGATATTCCTACACCAACAATTGTCACTGTCCCTGCTACTAATCCTGTCACTGTAACACCGGCGAATCCTGATTTAACTCCTCTCCCAATTCCCTCCACCACTCCTGTGAACATCCCTCCGGCAACTCCTGTCAATCCTCCAGGACCAGTCACCAATCCTGCCACAACTCCGGCGCCAATAACTGTCCCTGGTGCACAACCTATAACAAATCCAGTAACAACATATCCAGCTCCTCCAGGAAATGTGCCTGTCACAACACCAGTTACAAGTCCTGTGACACCTCCTGCACAGACTAATGCTCCTGCCATTCCAGGACAAAGTTGGTGTGTGGCCAGAAGTGGAGCCCCGGAGACTCAACTTCAATCTGCTTTAGACTATGCCTGTGGAATTGGAGGGGCAGATTGTTCATTGATACAACAAGGAGGGAGTTGTTATAATCCTAATACTCTTCAAAACCACGCCTCATTTGCATTTAATAGCTATTATCAGAAGAATCCTGTGGCAACAAGTTGTGATTTTGGAGGGACTGCTGTTGTTGTCAGCACCAATCCAAGTAAGAAAATGAGTTGTTTATTGATGTTTGTTTCTTGTTTTTGTTGCAATTTTTGAAATTATTCATTTTTACCCTTGTGAAATTGTTTTCAGGTACTGGTTCTTGTGTTTTTCCATCATCAGCATCATCAACATCATCAACAACTCCACCATCATCAACAACACCACCATCAACAACTCCGCCATCAACAACTCCACCATCAACAACTCCAATAACAACACCAACTACAACACCAACAACACCACCAACTACAACTGCTCCTCCAGCTACCACAACTGGATCACCATTACTGCCAGGAGTACCAGGGTAAAGTTTTTATTAACATCCAGTCATTACCTGCTAGCTTAAGCTTTTGTATGAATTGGTAACTTTATATAAGACTACTAATCAACGATCACGCTTATCTGATAGCTTTAACTTTGAGTGGAATCATTTTTATATTAACGTTCATTCTTACTTGATAGGTTAAACTTTAAGTGAAGTAGTAACTAAATATAGTATAAGAATTAAAGGTATCGAGTTTGAATCCCACTAGTAACACATTTGCATTTATTTGTGTGTTGACAGATCTGTTAATCCACCAACAGTGTTAAATTCAAGCAGTCCGAACACAGCTTTCGGGTCCGATAGCCCTCCAGTCGTGAACACATCAACATCCACATCAATTAGCGCGCAAACCTTCAGGGGTTACTTCACTTTGGTAACATTATCCTTAGTTACTGGAATCATCATTCTACACTTATAGAACAAAGATCACTTTTGCATGTACATTGATGAATCATCAGAAGCTCTCACATCAATCTCTTCAGGAAATTTAAGAAACATGAGGTGAATACCGAAAGGCTCAAACATATATAGCTAGCACCCTTGTTAAAAATCTAGAGATAAATTTAGTTTCTGCCTGAAAAATAATATGTTCTATGCTTAAAATTAGGCTACTTTGATTGTAAAATAGGGAATTTTGATACTACTGCATTTATTTGCTTTCAATTGATGTAAAGTTAGTAGTTCAAATGCTGAGTATTGCTTGTGATAATTGAGTGATCAAATTCATTTTAGAAGTTTAGAGATTAGTGGTGGTTTCATAGAGAGAGCCAAAATGGTGTGGCATGGCATGCAGAGTCTTCAAAAGAGAATCAGTCTAATGGGTGCATTATGCAGCTGCAATTCATTGTATTTTGTATAGCATTTGGAATATTAATAGTATTAAGTAATGTGAATGCAATTACCAATGCATAAAAATATTCAAAAAGTATTCAGGGTTTTACTAGAGTTTTAAATCAACCGTTATATATGAATCATTTACGATTTTAAGATTTAGGGTTCAGTTTGGAGGCAACATTAACTCTCACCTGATAATATTAGAAATATTGTCAATTATATTAAAGTAATCACTAAACCCAAAAATTTAAATTAATAAATAAGATGAAGGAATAATACTTTTAATAAGGAATCAAAATGGGTCATTTAGTTTATTATAATAATATAGGATTCCCCAAGGTTAGAAGTCTTGCTCAACAGCTCAAGGAGTAAAAGTTCAGTTGAAAGTTTGAAATGCTTTGGAAGAAAATCATTAAAGTCCAAGAGAAAGGTAGACATAGCATGTGCCTAAAGTATGAAAAACAAAGCCTCATGTTTATTGGCATCTTGTATTCTGTCAAAGCCCCATCATGAAATTTACTGTACTCCACTTAGTTATTAAAATATTTATTAAGGTACAGTAATGTTACCACTGTTGTTCCCTTAAATTAAGGAGTTTTGACTAGGTACTTACAAAATAATGTTACCTCTCCAATAATAGTGTGAAACTATAAAAGAAGTTAATAGCTCAATAACATTATCAGGTCAATAATTTAATTATAAGTAACATCTTATCGTGACATAAATAATAAGAACTTAAAAGTTGTTGTTTAGATTTTGAGTATTATAAAACATTATATGAGTGCGTTTTATCAAGTTAAATTTGTAGCTTACAAATTTAACGTTGATACAGTGATATACTATAACAAAATCCCTTTGTTTATAATAAAAATATTGATCTGATATCTTTATCTCTATTAAAATAAGAATTTGTAAAGATGCTAATTATGTCACTTTTAGTCTGAGGGGACAAAAGGGTATACAAAAGTTAAAAAAGTTCATCATCCTAGAGGTCGAAGAAAGATTGGAGTCAACTTTTATGGTAAGATTCTTTGTGGTATTATTGGAGACAAAGTTGAAATCTAATGCATTGGATGCCATTAATCATTGAATTTAAGACAAAAGGGCCTATTGTACCGACATTTTGATAGTCAATAATGATATTGAGCATGCTTATTATTGAAAGATCAAACGAGAGATCCTATGACCAATAAAATCTTCTGGTACAGAAATGGTATTTGTGGTTAGTAATTAAAAAGAACAATGCATTGAGTTTGATGGTGGACATTGGAATCATTATTGTTTCTAAGAGGAGCTTTCTGAGGAAGATGGAAGAAGAGACTGAGAGGAACCTTCCAGGAAGTAGCTTCAGGATCTTGTAATGCTGAAGCTTTAAAATGGTTTTGTTGTTTTTGGTCAATAAGAGAATAAAGATCATAAGACAATTCAAGAAAAATCTAAGAATATCGTAAATGAAACATTTTAGTATCCTAAGAAAATCTTCAATACAACATATATAGTACGTAATTACCCAATTATAAAACATGTACATTATTTACCCTTGTTCCGTGGTTACACATACAATAGATACATAAAAAAACTTCTTTTTCCTGTCATTTATGAGAACAGAGCCGCTTGTGTCTATAATACAACTCATCAAACCAACACGTAGGTGATCAAGTGATTCGATAAAAACTCTTAAGTCTGTTACTCAAGAAGATTTGAGTTCGAGTCTTTTCACAATTGCTAATAGAGGTGATCACTAGAACTTTTATCCAATCAATAGTTTTAAGGTCCCAAGAAATTAATTAAGATATACGTAAACTGATCCAAATACCCTCTATCATTCAAAAAGAAAAAAAAAACTCACATTATATTTATAAGTTTTACATAGCATGTATCCCATCATAAATATGTTTGCTCAATCAAATTTAAATATACATTTATTTTTTTATTTTCTCCACATAACTACCATATTAATTTTCATAGACACATAGAAGACAATTTAATCAAAGAAAAACATATAAATAATATGATACATCCACCTCATCTATAACTTCTACTATCCAATGTTACAAGTGTTGGCTTCCACATTACAAAATTCTGTCATTTGATCTTTTCCTTGTTTCATACCTGTACTGTGGTAGTAACGACTCCATTGCTACACCTACATGTTCAACATACCAGAGAAAGTGTTGCAAATGTTTCTAGTTGTGAGAATAAAAAAAAAAGGAATGTTCTCCATTGACACTAAGCAAGAAAAAGACCCTCTACAACCAAGCAGCATTTCTACAAGCAAAATGGCTCTACAGCTTTTTCCTAAACTCTTCACAAACTAGACTTAAGGTTGCTACACCATGGCCTTATACACAAGGATAACTACAATACATAATGTTTCATCGCTTTGAGAAGACCACCAAGATCAACATTGACATGGAAACAACTATCTTAAAACCAGAGGTTTCCCAGAAATTCTGTTTCTCCATACCCACCGGTGCACCTTGTTGTTTCCCCACCAACTGTTCTCGTAGTTCTTTCAACACTCTGTCCCTTCGCTCTCCCATCTGTCGCAATGAATAAAATTTATGTAAGAGAACCACACGATAGATGTTAAATTTGGACTACTGAAAGAAGAATGAAAGGGGGCTGCATAACAGTATAATTGAGTGGATCGTTCAGTTAATGAATGCATAGTGGCTTACTAGATTAAAAATGGAACTATTTGCACTCCATAGTTAGTGTGGCTCAACTAGCTTTAACCAATTTGCACACAATTTTTACTTCTACTGTAGACTGAGAATACAAACAAATGCAAGAAGTTGATCTTATTTCCGGAACCATGGCACGATCCTGCTTTTGTATATGAAAGACTAAAGAGATTAACATACCCTTTGAAGCTTTCGTGTCTGCGCACGAGCTTCCTGGAGGCAGAACTCCAACTTCAACACCCTCTTCTTCAGTTCCTGATCAGCTCGCCGCTGCTTCTCCAACTGTTACAGAAAATAGGTTGAAGCTCATAAATAAACAAGAATCACACATCATTTAGAGATAAAACGCAATTTGAGATAACAAAGCCCATGAAAAGAGTAGATTTCTGAATCACCTGTGATTCCAGTTCTTTAGTTTTGAGCTTCCAATGGGCGGACATAATCCTTATTTCATCTCTCAGTTTGGCTATTTCTTCATCCTTAACAACAAGAAGTTTATTGATCTTCTCAAGATTCTTTGGAGAAACCTCGTTCAACAGCTTCCTCAGTTCACAATCTTTGTTTGCCCCAGCCTTGGTGACAGCTTGCATAATATCATGCTCAATTCTCAAAACTTCTTCTTTCAGTTGCTTTTGGGAAGATTCCCTTGCCTGAAGATCCTTCTGCAAATTATCTAATTGTTCTCCTAGCCTAGTTACACGATCCTCATGTTCCTTTAACGAGCTATTCTTCTCATCTAATTCTTTAACCAATGCTGAACATTGAAGCTGAGCTGCTTGAGCTGAGGCAGCACTTGCATCTGCAGTTGCTTGAGTGCTTGAAAGCTGAACTCGAAGATCATCCAATTGCTTCAGGTACTGTGTCCCATAAAATTACGATCAGAATCACAGAAGTAGCAACAAAATAACATGGTTTGCATTAGCTAAACATATAAATTACATTTTCCTTTTCCTTTTTTATTTTTTTATACAAAACAGAGAAATTTCATTAACAGAGGAAATACGGTAAAAAAGTGAAAAAGGGTCCACAGGGACATCAAAAAGAGCCCCAGTGAATACAATTTAAAGACCGTTAAATGCGGCAGAGATATGAGGAATCAACCATCCAACTGGCAGCATCAATGAACTGTTTTCTAATATTACTAGAAACTCGAAAAGTGACAAATTTAGGAATATGATACATATGATAGAAAAGCAGAAAGTCATGATGCCAAATTATTTTTACAAGGACAATCAGGCCACAATATGATCAGCATGCAACAAATCTTTTTTAAAATTCATAACAGAGTGGCTAAGTTATAATTATAGCAATATGAATTGATGAATTGCAATAAAAGCAACAAACATTACATATTCCATTAATGAATAACAAAGTGATCAATGGGATCCAAGGTTCTTTATGTATGTCCATTAATGCCATGTTCACCCACGCGTTGCAAGATGAAAATAAATATTTGATACCGATTTTATGTATAGCGATAAATATACAACCTGTTTGGTTTTTTTTTTTTTTTTTTTTTTTTTAAATATGACTGTTCACAATATAAGTACTTCATAATTATGAAGCATAAAAGTGAGCTCAACTTATCATTTATGAGGAAGTTACTTAAATTCTTGGATCTAGTACTAATACATAACTACAAGAGTTTATAATATTGGAAGATTACTTTTGAAATATAACTATTCTAAGAATTGGAGTACCATTACAACGAAATAACTTCAATGGACCCCTCATTAAGCAACTATATCATTAACTACAGGTGCTAAGGAAATGGCACCTTAAACTCAGATTCAATTTATAGAATATTAAGATTTCCACAGTCAGTAAAAGTACAGAAAAATTATTGATTTATTATATATAGATGGAAGCTATTTATACTATATTTATGTGCATCAAATGTTTTGTCTCATATTCAAGGAAACAGTCTATAAACAGCAGAAAAAATTTAAGATTAAAACAAGAAAGAAAAACAAAAACAGAACGCACCAACAAAAATGTTGGAATATAATAGTAGCATCAACCAAATAAATTCATTCTAAAGTAATAAAACTAACAGAAAATTTTAAAAGGTTTGATTTGTGAGTTAAATTCAATTTCCAAGCTTTCCCATCTCATTTACAAAAGACAAAAGTTTTTTGAATCATTCAAGCCACAAATAAAGGCAAGACAACATAATAATATCATAAACACTTGGTCAGCTTTCTCTACTGGGCTCTCCCCACCAAAAAACAATGAGAAAACCCCAAAAGGCATAAAAAAGATGAGAACACGATTCATCGATAATTATGTGATAACTTCAGCCCCAAAAGATGCAAAAAAAAAAAAAAAAAAAAATAATTATTCAAGATCAGCTCAACCAACTGGCACATAGCCTTGTTATTAGTTAATCATACCCTCATTTCATTAAAATTAATACCTTCTCAGTATTAGAAGCTGAAGCCTCAAGCTGTCCTCCTCTCCTCCAATGCCTTCTGCAATCTACAAATCTCTTCCTCCATGTTCTTACCTTTGTTTCTGCCTCCTGTGAAAAACCATAAAAATTAAACTCATTTCTAATTAAATTTTAAACTCACCCCCACAAACAAAAGTTCCCCAAAAGGCAAAAATGATTGATCCAAGGCTTAACAAAAAGAAACCCTTATGTTTCATCATCAAAACACACAAAAAGAGTTCAAATCAAGATCAGATTACAAACCTGTCTTGTTAGGCTCTCTTTAACAAAAGACTGCTCTGAATGCCAAACGCTCTAACCTCCTTCAACTCAGCTGCTAAAGACACAACATTTCTTCTAAAACTTTGCTTCTTTTCATTCAAATCCTTCAACAAAGGATCGATATCTCTAACGCAAGTGATGATGACATGGTATTAATCAAAATATCAAAATCACCTTGACCAACGGTGGCTTGAAACTTAGACACAAAGTTACACACTTAATCAAATCCTGAAATTATCGTCAGTTGCTTCTGACCTTCAAGTAAGCATTATCTTCTTCATTCTGCATGTGAAAAGGGTAGTGAGCATTTACTTTGAAGCATCTCCCAATAACAAAAACAAAAACAATTAAAAAATAAATTAAAATCACCTTCAGAACTAGTGCATGCAGAATTTCAAATTGAAGTTCAAAATTTAAGTCAAATTAATGTAAACTTAAATACTTCATATATTTCTGTTTAAACAATCTCCAAGAATATAATATCTAAAAAAAAAAAAATTGAATTATTTTTATGGCTAATAATAGACCAAATAGAACCTAACAAAATTATTATGAGAGAGAGAGAGAGAGAAGAGAATTAATAAACACGTAAAGGGACAATCCAATTCATCTAATAATAATAATTAAATAAATTCATGAAACTTTAGAGAGAGAAAGTCACTTTTATTTCAAAAAACACAATAAAAATTAAAACTTTAACTATTTGAAGCAAACCCCACTTAGTTTTTTTCTTTTTTCACAAATCATGCAATAAATCAATTATCATAATAAATATGAAAGAACTACCTTTAAATTTACTGATTTTTCATAAAAACGTTTCATTTCCCTAAAAGAAAAGAACTCAAAAAAATTCAAACTTTAAGTTTCTTTAACTGATTTAAAGCAACCCCACTTGGTTTTTTGAAACAAAAACTTGTTTTCTGGAAACAGAAACATGGAAAACAGATTTTGGAGATGAAAATGAAATACCATTGTTCATCTCAGCTTGCATGTGCACAGAAAGGCCAAAAACAACGTTTTCAGTTGAGGGTTAGGTGAGTGTGGATGAAACAGTGATCTGAAGGTGGAGATGAAGGGAGAGTGAAGTGTTATACAATCAGACGGCTAAAATGGAAGAACGAAAATGAAAATTTTAGGTTTTTTTTTTTTTTTTTGGTAATTTTTTCGGACAAGATATTTTGTCTTATATTGAAGTGAGAGTTTGAGCCTTAAGGTGAAGACAGAGAAGAGAGAGAAAGTTAGGTTCGGACTTGATTTTTAAATCTGAAAGTGGAGGGATAATTTCATTATCTCTCATGAGGTTTAAAAGATTACTAAATAATCCCAAATGTTTAGAAAACGATAAAAGTGTACAAGAACTTTCGATCTGAATTTTGTTAAATAAGAGGTGAAGTTAATTTTTTTAGGGTCATTGATTCTTTTTACAGCAAATTATTAAAAAAGTTTGAGATAATACTCATTATTAGGCATGTGTAATTTTCACAAGGGCAAAAGACGCGTTATTGACATTGTCATGATCGAAATTCAAATAATAACATTTTGCATACTAGTATGACAATTTATATAAGAGCGTTTATACGTATTTCATGCATGTGATTTAAAATATTACCAAAATACTATCATTCCTTTTTTTAGACAATAGTTTCAAGATCAATTTGAAAATAGTCATTAGAAAATTACATAGATTTGTATTTGATACAATAGATTTAAAATCGGTCAAACATCAAGAGATCAGTTCGTGTTACATCATTTTTTTATTATCATGCTCATGCATTCTACGGCATACAAAAATATGTTCAATAACTTCAACATATTAAAATAAATTTGATTTCAAAAATTTTCAAAATTAATTTGAATTTGAAATGATTTTTTTTCCACTGTTAATTAATTAATTTTTACAATACATTATCATATTAAAATAGTAATAGATATACCAAATCATGGGGGATAAATGAGAATTAGGAAACCACATGAGAGACAAATGAAAATTACCCATAGTGGAATATTCGAACCTGATTCCAAACCTCGTGCTCATAAATGACAAAGTCCGAACCTAGAGTTTTAGATTCTTCGTTTGACTTGAAGCGCGGCAAATCAAATTTTTGGACAACTGGCCGGTAGTTGTTTTTCTGCCACGTCACCTTCATCACAAATTCAAATTGGGGTTTCTCTCTCCCTTTCTGGGCTTTTTATCTTATCGTTTATTTATGGGCCGAGTAATATTTTATCAATTAAATGTCAACAAATTTTATTGTTATAATTGATAATATTGTAATGACTCTAATAGGAACCTACTCTAATAACCCAATAATTGGGTTGAGTTATGGATTTTTCATAAGCTTGGGTTGAACTCTCTTTAAAAAATTGGCTTATCAAGGGAGAGTATCCAAGCCTTTATAACCTACATGCTCACCATTTTCCCTTCCAATGTGGGATTCTTACATTCTATCATGCTTCCACAACTGACATCTACATCGACCTCTGTACTCTCGTCGACCTCTTTACCCCTTAAGTGACTATGTGGATCGCCTTTCTCTTGGGCTTCCATGCCTTTTCTCGGGGCAGCAGCTCATGCCCAAGGTCAGCCTACCACACATGTGCTACCACATAGGCGCAGTATCATGCTCTGATACCAATTGATATAAACTCACTCCAATAACTCAACAATTGGGTTAGGCCATAGGTTTTTCATGAACTTGGGTAGAACTCTCCTTGGAAAACTGGTTTGCCAAGAGAGGGTGTCAAAGCCTTTATAATCCATATGTCCATCATTTTTCCTTCCAATGTGGCATCTTAATAGACTCTGGATAAACTTATACTATAATTAAAAAAATATTATTAAATCCATCAATGAAGTTAAAGCATGCTCAAATGTCAAATGTGATAATATAAAACGATGTACTTATAATTACAAATAATGAACTGATAGAATGATGTTGATTTATAACGATTGGTGATATACATATAATTGTAACGATCTATAGTAGTCAATGATGGAATTGTAACGCGGTGGAACATTAACTTTTGTTATTTTCGTAATATTTAGAGATGGTTTTATAATATAAAATTATTTATAGCATTTATTACCATTTAAAAAGTAAACTAGAAGGGTGTGTTTGGTTGAGAGTAATCCTCCGTTTCTTCGGTAATGTCATCTTTTATTATTATCTATTGACAATTTGACATTACCATGTTTATTTTGTCAAGTGATAAAATATTCCAATAATTCTCTAATACCAATAGTAATAATAACTCAAGTGGTTAGTCGGACAATTAAGGAGGTTTGCTCCCTTCTTTAAGTTTATGGGTTAAAATCTTGGAGCCACCTACCATAATAACATTGTGGCTTACTTGGTCCTTTAAGCTTGTAAGGTGTTCAATGGATTCCGATGATTGGTTGAGATGCGAAAGAGCTGGCCCGGACACCCCAATTACAAAAAAAAAAATCAAAAATCAAAAATCAAAAATCAATAGTAATCACTATATGTTATATAGGTGTTAATATAAATATCACCATTTTCTTTGGTATTCTAAGACTATTTGGTAATCTTAATTTTGTTATAATTTTACTTCTAAGTAATAAAATTTGTGGACAATAATACCCTTGTTCTTAAAATAATTTACATGGATCTAGTCGAAAACAACCAAATCGACGCATGGCCGGCAAGATCTGATCAGTCGTGTGTCATTCTAGCGACTGTCGGCGGCCGACAGTGGTTTTGGGTGGTTAAGGATATTTTGTTAAATTTTAAACTTTTCTTATGGCTAGGGTGTTTTGTGTAAATTCTCAAATATATAAGGTTAAAATACTATCCAAATAATAATAATAATGGCTGTGTTTGGTTCAGTATTATTATCCATATTTTGGATNTGTTATAATTGATAATATTGTAATGACTCTAATAGGAACCACTCTAATAGCCCAACAATTGGGTTAAGTCATAGGTCTTTCATAAGTTTGGATGAGACTTTTTTTAAAAAACTGGCTTATCAAAGGACTCACCATTTTTCCTTTCAATATGGGATTCTTACATTCTATCATGCTTTCGCAATCGACGTCCACATCGACCTCTCTACTCTCGTCGACCTCTTTACCCCTTAAGTGACTATGTGGATCGCCTTTCTCTTGGGCTTTCATGCCTTTTCTCAGGGCAGCAGCCCATGCCCAAGGTCAGCCTGCCACACATGTGCTACCACGTAAGCGCAGTATCATGATCTGATACCAATGGATATGAACCCACTCCAATAACTCAACAATTGGGTTAGGCCATAGGTTTTTCATGAGCTTGGGTAGAACTCTCCTTGAAAAACTGGCTTGCCAAGAGAGGGTGCCCAAACCTTTATAACCCATATGTCCATCCTTTTTCCTTCCAATGTGGAATCTTAATAGACTCTCGATAAACTTATAGTATAATTAAAAAAATATTATTAAATCCATCAATGAAGTTAAAGCATGCTCAAATGTCAAATGTGATAATATAAAACGATGTACTTATAATTACAAATAATGAACTGATAGAATGATGTTGATTTATAACGATTGGTGATATACACATAATTGTAACGATCTATAGTAGTCAATGATGGAATTGTAACGCGGTGGAACATTAACTTTTGTTATTTTCGTAATATTTAGAGATGGTTTTATAATATAAAATTATTTATAGCATTTATTAAATAAAGGAATGCTTCTTGCCATTTAAAAAGTAAACTATAAGAGTGTATTTGGTTGAGAGTAATCCTCCATTACTTCGGTAATGCCATCTTTTATTATTGTCTATTGACAATTTGACATTACTATGTTTATTTTGTCAAGTGATAAAATATTCCAATAATTCTCTAATACCAATAGTAATAATAACTCAAGTGGTTAGCCGGACGGTTAAGGAGGTTTGCTCCCTTCCTTAAGTTTATGGGTTAAAATCTTGGAGCCACCTACCATAATAACATTGTGGCTTACTTGGTCTTTTAAGCTTGTAGGGTGTTCAATGGATTCCGATGATTGGTTGAGATGCGAAAAAGCTGGCCCGGACACCCCAATTACAAAAATAAAATAAAAAATAAAAAATCAATAGTAATCACTATATGTTATATAGGTATTAATATAAATATCACAATTTTCTTTGGTATTCTAAGACTATTTGGTAATCTTAATTTTATTATAATTTTACTTCTAAGTAATAAAATTTGTGGACAATAATGCCCTTGTTCTTAAAATAATTTACATGGATCTAGTCGAAAACAACCAAATCGACGCATGGCCGGCAAGATCTGATCAGTCGTGTGCCATTCTAGCGATTGTCGGCGGCCGACAGTGGTTTTGGGTGGTTAAGGATATTTTGTTAAATTTTAAACTTTTATTATGGCTAGGGTGTTTTGTGTAAATTCTCAAATATATAAGGTTAAAATACTATCCAGATAATAATAATAATGGCTGTGTTTGGTTCAGTATTATTATCCATATTTTGGATCTCATTTTTCAAATAATGTTTGTTTTATTATTTGCACAATCAAATCTGCAAAATATTTTTCCTGACAGTTTTCTGACTTTTCTTTTTACCGTTGCCTTTTATTTTTCTCAGCTTTCTCTTCACTGACATTTCCCACTTTCTTTTTCACCATTGGCTTTTATTTTTCTCAGCTTTTTCATTATTATTATTCTTTCACTGGGAAATTTTAACACTTTACCGAGTCAACCACAATAAGGTATTATAGACAACATGGCAACGGTATAGAATAATATAACGAATACACTGTAGGCAACACAGTGGACCATGTCGTAGTTGTTAATGGAGTATACGTGAAATAATGATTGTAAGGGTTGATAATTAATACTTTTGTCATATATGTATTCATGTGATGTTTTTAAACAGTTGGATTAGTACTTAAAATTAATATGAGTTTTTGTTTTTTAATATCTACAGGTGACAAAATTACCAATAAAATATTTAGTATTATTAAAATGTAACTTGATAAATTATATACATAATAATACATTATTTTAACAAAATACAACAAAATATTATATTAATAAATCATTTATAAAAAAATATATTAATCAAATATTCAACACAAATATCAAGGTCAAAATACTCTACCAAACACATATTCTGCAAAACATATTCTCGTAATCATAACTATCCCATTATACAATATTCTCTAAAATCCTATCCAAAATAATAAACCAAACGCACCCAATAAATTTAAACCAACATATTTAAAGAAGGACAATTCAGTAAAAGGCTCTCCCATAATTATTTATTTCTCCCAAAGCTCAACTAAACATATCAATATCACATACCCACTAATTTATCAAATCTACCAACATATTTAATATAATATTCTCTGAACCAAACGTCCCTAAGGACAATGAACCTGCAATTTTTTCTTTTATTTCTAATTCTTTTTTATTTTATTTCATGCGTAAAATTAAAAGAAAAAGGAAAAAAAAAAAAAAAAAAAAAAAAAAGGTGTTGGAAAGATTACAATAGCAAAAGTTGTTGGAATTTTAATTTGGATATTGGTAAATTGAAAAATATGGAAATTAAAATAATACCTTCCCCAATAATGGTGTAATGAATGTAAATAGAGTTGTTAAATTGATAGAATAGGATTAGATAGAGTTATTGAATTTAATTTAATTAATTATAGCTTGTAGTGTATTATTAAATTAGGTAACCACAATTAACCTAATTCTTTTGTTATTACTTTTTGATCATTTACTGTTATTAAAACATAGTATTTTATGAAATCATGTTTGGATATAGTTAGATAATTTTAATCAGTTTTTTAACTAATAATATTTATGGTTTCAATTGATTGATCTAATGTGATGAATATTTTAAAAGTCTTAATATTAATTGATTTTTTATACATATTTTATGTGAATGAATCTCCAATGACAATATTTCTCATTCTTGGGCTAAACAATTCAACCCTCCTTATTTATAGTTTTCCTCCCCTAACACCTCATTGCATGAAATGAAAATATATTCTAAAGTAAAATAATTTGGTCAATTAATAATTGTTAACATCAATCACACATTCAACATATTTTTCTTTTAATATTTAGTATCTCTGAAATACGATCACACTATGTTATTGTTTTGATAATGTATCAAATTAGTTTTCAGTTTTCACCTTTGGATTGTGGTCAAGCCTTGAACCAACGAGCCGTCCTAGGACGACTATCTAGACGTGAAAATTGGTCGGAAAATGTTATCATGCTTGAAACATCGGCCATAAGAAAGTCTTATACGTTTCTGTTGTACATTCTGATACAAATACAATTAAACAATAAGAGTATGCCAAGTTAGTGTGTGAGAAAAAATACGCTTCCTCGTTGCCTGTTGTATGTGCAATGGATATAAAAGTTATGAGTAATACTATACCAACAACTCTTACGCACAAAGTTTTTTTCACAATCTGACGTGACAATTCATAATTGATCAGCTTGCAATTAATTAGTGAAACCCATGCAAAACCCACGTGAGACCCTTTATGAACTAATCAATTGCAAACTGTCACGTCAAGATTGTGAAAAAAAGTTTATGAGAAAATGTTGTTAGTGTAGTATTATTCAATAATTATTTCCCGACCCAATAACGTTAGACGTTAATAAGGTAGAGAAAGAAGGAATAAAAGATTGAAACAGTTAAACTCGGATCTATTATTTTCACTAATAGTTGCTTTATCAAAGGGGAACGGCCTCAAACACCCCATGGGCAATCACTTCAACATTTTATCAAACTTGAGAACTAAGAAAGTAAGAATACGTTGCACTCAAAAACACATCCAATGTGATAACACAACTTTTTGTCCATTACCAAGACATACAAGCATGTTATGTAGCCCAGGGGTGGAGCGGGATGGTGTTTAGGAGCACTTAGCCAAGTATGCATCCCATCCTTGAAGTCTGTATTCGTGAGCTGCCTCTGCAGGGTCCGCTGCCTTTATGATTCCACGACCCACAATGATAATATCGCTGCCCCTATCGTATATGACCTGGAAAATTATTTTTCTCACTGGTTAATAAATTTGCAACAACGTCTACCTAGAAGACTAACATTACACATGGCGCCAAGATCACAAAGAGCATAGTGAGAGTAGGAAGTGGAATTCATACATAGGACGAAATGGGAATTAGTTGGTTAGCGAAATTCATGTCATACTTGAGCTACCATTAATCAATTATCAAATGGATTAAATAATTAACTAAGATATGTGCGAATCCTTCTTATTAACGGAAAAAAAAAATAAAAAAAAATAAGGGTACTCCAAATGCAGGAGAGCTGATGAATAAAACAGAACTTACAGAATGTGGAGTATTATACTGCTGGCCGAGATTATCACCACCCTTTGCCATTTGAACTCCAGGGGTTGCCTGAATAAATGCCGGATTGACCGGTGCCCCTGGCCATGACGCTGGATTAACTGAGATGAAGCCGATGACAAAATCAGAGTGCTCCTCAGCAATTTTCACAGCTGCAGCTGTATACTCTCCTGTTGCCAGGTTACCAGCTGAACTCATTTCAGCGAGCAGCAACAAGCCCCTACCACGAGGCAAACCCTAAATACATCGAGAGTGATCAAAACAATAGAAAAGGATAAGTTGAACCCATACTAAAAGTCGGACATTAGTTACAGTTGATACTAACCTTCAATTTCAGTCCATCAACGATTCCAGGTCCAGAAATTATGTGAGCATTAATTATATCAGCCCAATCCAGTATGCGGAATATACCTCTGAATTCAACAGAACCAATAGGCCTCAGGCCCAGGCAAGGACATAAAGAGAAGAAATTGAGAAAAACAGAGGAAGCCGGGTCTTACCCTTCATACTGCATAGTCACAGTATTGCCAATGTCTGCAAACTTCCGATCTTCAAAAATTAGGAAATTATGCTTTTCTGCAATCTTCAGGAGAATAATAAGCATTTTTAGATGTAACTTGACAATATATATAATTAACAAATAATTCAAAGGAATCCACGCAATAGCAATGCAGATATTGTATGTTGGTTTGCCAAAAAGAAGTTCAGGGACATACCGCTCTGAGTTTGGAACCAAAATCAGGGGTGAAATCAGGCAATATATCAACATGGGTTTTCAATAAGCAGATCTCTGGTCCAACCTACATAAGGGATCGAAACAAAATCAGAATAAAAAGATGCATACCTTTTTTATAAACCAGATGATAAAGCAATTTATTTTATATGCAATGCAATAATAAAATGAATGGAAACATGGTTATAAACCGTATTTACTAACACAAGCACACAGTTTGGGAAGTGCTACAATTACCAGTTAGTGACAAGTAAAGCAACATATGTTTAGACTCAACCTTTTGCAACTTTGCCCAATTATTCTTCAATGTCTCATTCTCAGTGACAATGTTTTGTCAACTCTATCTATATATCTCGCAACAGAGGTGACTGCTGATGATCAGGATTTGCAACTATAATTAATTGTCAAAAGAGTCATAAAACAATTACACACATGATCAAATATTAAAAACCAAGCCGCTTAATCTCAGGCACAAGGCAGGGACAAAAAGTACTAAACTAAAGTCAACAACTGGCTTTGACTGGATCAACCCCATTAAGGAATCGGGCCAAAACTTCAGACTCAACCAAACAACCAGCAATGGTGTTTGAACCACCACAAACCATCCTCCCCTGACCCACATGCGCATTTTCCAGTCCCATCTTTGGAGTCATATCATGCCACTTCAAGTCACATCTGTTTTAAGAAACAAAAATTGTTTTCTCAAACATATGCTTTTACCAGATCCAGTAACATTACCGGGCATGCGTTGATTACATGTCGCAATATTTTAGTTAAGAAAACAAACTTTCAATTTTTAATACATAACTAATTCATACACCAACGGTATACTTATGAATAATGAATGACCCTAGAACAAAAACTCCTAAACCTTAACCCTTAAACTCTAAAACCCTAAACCCTTAAACACTAAAACACATTTTCTATTCTATGCTTAAACAGTGATTCTCATGATTAAAACAAAAACAAAAACAGAAACTTTCAGACCTTGTCAGCAATTTGAAGCAATTCAGAGGCAGTGGCAACATCAGCAGCCAAACACAAATTACTCTCCTTCTTCGCCATCACTTCAAACAGCTTCTTCCCCATTTCATTCTTCATCAATTTCAATCTCTCCTCGTATCTCAAACCCTTAACCTTAACCCTAATCCCAACATTGGGCACCCCCACTTTCTTATTCTCCTCCAAAAACTTCATCACCACTCTCTCCATCTCCTCATCCAACTTCCCTTTCTCCCTCAAAATCCTCACCATCTCACTCAACTTTATCATCGAATGCAATTCGATCCCATTCTCTTTCAAATTCTCCCGTCCGCCCTGCTCTCTATCGATTAAAACGACGGCATCTTTGACAACGAGGCCCGCGGCACGCAGCGGCGTCGCCGTCTCGAGCACGGAGGCGCCGCTGGTGACCAGATCCTCGATGATTAAGCAGGTCTCGGAGGGCGTGAAGGTGCCCTCGATGGCCTTGGAGGTGCCGTAGTCTTTGACTTCTTTGCGGCGCATGAGCATGGGTATGTCGTTGGAGACGGAGACGCAGGTAGCGATGGGGAGGGCGGTGTAGGGGACGCCGCAGACGGAGTCGTAGCGGGTGGAGGAGGGGAGGGAGGAAATGAGGGTGGCGGAGATTTGGCGGAGGAGGGAGGGATAGGAGACGATGAGACGGAGGTCGATGTAGATGGGGGAGGAGATGCCGGATTTTAGCTTGAAGTTTCCGAATTTGACGGCGGAGATTTCGTGGAGTTGGAGGATGAGAGACTCCATGACCGACATCGTTTTGAGTTTGGAGTGGCGGACGGAGGAAGATGAAGATGAACTGAAGTGAAGTAGTGTGGAGAATAGCGGTGTTTATTAAATAAGGGCTGAATTGAAAAGTAACAACATTAGGGGTTTAATAGATCTAACTATAATTGGAGGGTTTTAAAATAACCAACTTTAAAATATTATGCAAATTAGTTATATTTCACCTAAATGGACAAAAATACCTTTCAATGTTATTGTTGCACTATATGGAGGTAATTGAATTGATGCACTTGACAATGTACGAGGGTTTGGCACTTAGCAAATGTGATGAACGTGCAAAAAAAAAAAAAAAAAAATTTGACGAAGGTGAAGATTGTAGATTTCTAGAGTCTTAATTATCTGATTAAATGGTTGAATAGAGAAAAAATAAGAGAAATAATTCATTAGGCTTTACTTGTTTAGACTTTATTAAGATTAACCAATTTTTTACTTAATTAACCCCACTTCACGAATAGACCTTCATATTTTCAAATCTTGCTTCTATGAAAGGTATTTGTAATTACGAAATTTATTAAGTTACAAGAGTATGTTTAATATAACGAGTCATAATTTCACTCAAATGCACTAAAAAATCATTTTTTCTAACATAATTTTCAACACTATATCAAGGCGAATGAATTGTGAATGTCGAATGTATTGATAGAGATCTTACCGAGGGTGATTTTGTACTTTCGAGTTAACTATTTTGGATAGTTTTACCAAATTAACAAAAGTTGGTCTAAGAATGACAGTAGTCCTTCGAATATGGTTATTCTTGCAAGGGCTAAAAAGTTTCTTTTTTTTTTTTTTTGTTGTAAGGTTCTCACTCATTTGTAATCCTAGATTTTTCTTTTTTGACTATGAGGTCCCTACACTTGACGGCCTTTTTTTTTCTTTTTTTTTTCTTTTTGAGATTCTAATTGGGAGATTAAAGAAAGTAAAATGGTGCAATTGGGGCCACCAACAATGGGTCACGATGTGCAACCCACTTAAGGAATTTATTATTATTACATAATCACCCTAAATTCCACTAAGTAGGGTTTTTGGGTTTTAAAAATAGCCACATTTAATCCAATATTCTATTTGAATTAAAAAATTACTTATCTATTGATAAACGATAATCATGTGTTAGTGAGGATTTTTTTTTTTGATAATTATACATCTCTATATTGCATTCCAATTCAGTACTACAAAAGTTAAAAATGCAATTCAACAAAACTTTCTAAAAATAATGAGTTATAATAAATAAATAAATAATTTTAAATTTTGTGTCAAATTTTGTAAGTTTCTTTTAAAGGTACGAGAACTTTAGTCTTTCTTTTAATTTAAAATTAAGAATGAGAGGGGATAAAATTCCCTAATCTTTTTATTTTTCCTCACTATCACATGGTTATCGTTTCTTTTAATTTAAAATTAAGAATAAGAGGGATAAAATTCCCTAATCTTTTTATTTTTTCTATTTTTATCTTTAAAATACAGTAAAACCTCTCTATAGTCATAATGGTGAGATTAATTAATTTTATTACTATGAAGAGGTTATAATTTAATAGAGGTGTGGTAACAAAAATTTCTTTATAATTCATGTTTTAATAGTACATTATTAGGATTTCAACTGATGTTTTAATACTTTTAAGATTTCAATTCAACGCTTCAATTGCCTACTTTTGAAACAGATAGAATATCGTGTCTTGAAACCAGCAAAGATAAATGTCATTGATGAAATTGTAAATGCAGTTGCTGCATGGTCAAATTGATGTGAAGCCACAAACTATTGTCAATTGTTTTAATCATTATAAAATTATGCAACAAATTGATGTGAAGTCACATATTATTGCCAATTGTTTTAATCATTACAAAATTATGTAACAAATTGATTTGAAACCACATACTATTGCCAATTGTTTTAATCATTACCAAATTAAGATCCCCGATGTCAATGAATTGTAAGTTATAAAAAAAGTGGATGAGGAAAATCAAAGAGTCAATGTAGAATTTAGTGATACAACTTCATTACACTAATCGAATGGATATTAATGTCTTTCTTAATCATCTAAATGAGCAATAAGTCATGTATGCTTTAACTAAAAAAGAAATCATTACTACAATTAGACAAAAAGATAAAAGAAATAATCATGAGGATGATAGTATAGAAATACAAAAAGTTTGTATCAAGAAACTTTAAACATACTTGAGAAACTAGAAATATATGGCTTTAACAAGAAGATGTTCATGCTAGCGAGTAATCTACCTGCAAGTTAAAAGATGTAGTAACAACTTTAAAGCATAAATCATTATCTCAAACAACTTTAGATAAATATTTTATTTCATCTTAAAATTTTAATGTAACATAACATATTTTTTTTTGTAATATACAGATAATTATTACTATATGGAGGCAATTTTTCTTAAGACGGAAATTAGAAATATTATAACTTATTACAATGTAGAGTTTATTTTTATTTATAACTATCTCAAATTGGGAATTGAATTTTTTATGACTATGTAGAGTTTATTCCTATATAGAGTATCACTATAGGAAAGTTTTACTGTATAAAGAGCTTTCCCTTTTAAATTATTATGAAATATTGGTGAGTACTCAAAGTCTCATTGGAATATATAATTGTAATAAAACATCAAAGGGTGTGTTTGGTTCAATATTTCTACTCATATTCCCAATTCTATTACACAAATATTGTTTGGCACATTATTCCATAAATATTAGTGTATTTTTTAATTACTTTTAGACTCCTTAACTTTATTAATTTCACTAAATACCCCTAGAAAAGTTTAAAAATTAGCAAAAACACCCCCACCCAACCACTGTCGGTGGTAGCCGGAATCTGTCACAACAGTGAATAACCGACTGGTCTGGCCATCGTTGACTGAAAACGACGGCCATATCTTTGACCGTCGTTGACCGAAAACGACGGCCATATCTTTGGCCGTCAACACCCTTGCAGCCGTCAACGGCTGTAGATCTGGCCGGAAAAGGCCATATCGACGCGTTACGAAATAGATCTAACCGTTCTGTGTCGTAACTCAATTTTTCGGCCAGATTCCGACAATGGTGGCCAGAATCTAGCATTGCGGGTGGTGGAGGTGTTTTTGTCATTTTATATATTGGGGTGTTTAATTAAATTAGCAAACCTAGGAGTTTTTTTTTATAAATTTATAAATTTAACCTCGTAATACTCCCCTATTCAACTACCCAATATTATTCCCAAAATCCTATCCAAAATAATGAACCAAAAGCATCCAAAGAGTTTATGATAGTAATTGTCATAAACCCTTTGAAGTATGATATATTAACAAAAAATCCTCTATCATTAATGAATTGTTAAAATTTATACGGTTATAATTTAGTAAAGATTACTAAATTGTCCTCTTACCGTTTATTATAAGAATAAAACTATGTGCATTAACCAATTGAATTAGTATAAATTGGTTAATGCACATATCATTACTCTTATTATAACACCTAAAACTTAATGGCAGGGAATTTCTATTATTTTTGAAACCTTTTAGAGATTTTTTTTATTATATCATACCTTAAGGGGATTAATATCATTAACTCTAAACTTAATAAGGGTTATTATAAACATAGAAAAACTATGATCAGGGAACTAAATTAAAGGGATTGCTTCGATGAGGATATAGAAAGAAGTGGGAAAAAACATAAGTTAATGGTTCCACTTTTTATATAAATAATTAATATTTTGAATAAAATAATATATATACTTTTTCTTTTTTACGTTTTATTCTTCTTTTTCCAAAAATAAAAAATTTTCATTTTAAATCAAGATTTTTAATACAAAATTGTAAACAGATATCAACCGTAGATATATTTGAGATAAGCTCTTCGAAATAAACAAAATAAGAAGTTATCTTAAAGGGTATTATCAGTTGTGAAAGTGATTAATTTACGTATCTTTTTTTTATATGAAATGAAGTTTTCAATTCCTATTTCATCTCATTTCATCCACGCATACAACAATCTAACACCTAAAACACACAAACTTCAACCAACACACACTAATTCGGCCAAGAGACAATCAAACACTCCCAATCTCTTTTAACACCTTAAATCATCAATCCTATCATGCAAATATTCTCCAAAGATCAACCAACCAAGACAACTCTCAAAATTGGAACAAAGAAATCACACACAAACCAAACTGAGAATAGGAAAATGGGATTCAAAATGCAAAGAACTTACTAGGATAAATTGCCAAGGAACATTCAAGCTTAAAGGAGACTCCACCGGCTTGAATTAACCCACCACCAAGCTTAGGCCGAAACTTGCCTTTATATAGGCATTCCAAATATGGGGAGTTGCCCTTTACCAATATCTCAAAATATTACATAAAAATTAAGGGCTTAAATTTCCCCACACAAGTTCAAAACATAAGCCATACCCTTTTAATGCAGTAATACAACCACTTTCTTAATTTTGTGATCTATATCTCAAACAACTAATTACTTGGTTAACCTTCATCATTTAATAACATCTAATCATTGTGTTTGGGCCAAATAAACCCATCTACACTTGATGCCTATGGTTTGGGCAAAAAAAATAGGGTTGGAGAAATGTCTTACACCTTTAGCACTTAATGAATAAATTTGTGGACTTCGTTAAGTCATTCGACTGATTGGTGCATACTTTGTAAGGCTTGGGTTTTTTTATTCTTTAATGAAAACTCTTGCAGAATCAATGACTCAATTGGGTTTAGAATCTCATCACTTTTATTCTTTTCTGTATATATGATGAACGCGTTTTCATTTTTCGTCATTTTTTAATTATTTTTAACATTTTCAATAACAACAAAAAATAGATGCATAAATTCCTAGAAGAACATGTCATTGTTTTCCAACAGTGTTTAAGGCGTGACACACGTGAAGACTATCATTTTGTTTTGACCATTTTGATGTTCTTATCATGTGTTAATTGTCATTGTGCCACTGAGGGGGCGTTTGGTTCATAAATATTAGATTACTAGGAAGATAGATTATCTTAAAAGATTACTGAAAATCTTTCAAAAAATATGTTTGGTTAGTCGGT